TCTCGACAGCATGCGGGAAGGACGTCAAGGGAAAGAAACACCGTTTTCCGTTCGTCGGATCGTCGCGCGATTCCAATACGCTCGTACGACAGATCAATATCCTTTGGCATCGTATCAATCTCTCGGCGAGCATTTACCGATACCAGTGATATCGCCGTATCGATGTCGGTAGAAAATAAAATTTTTCGCAAACACCATGACGCCCGAGCGAGAGGATCAATTCCAGCCGACGTATCAAGTACCTGTTATCTTCGCCTCTTTATCGTGCTGCTTGCCACGCCGAACCTCCCCCATTCGAAATACACTTTTTTCCCCGGGATTATCTGTGTGTTCTCCAATCTCCGACGTTCACTTTATGGTCGAAAAAAGTGTCCGATTCAAGGGAGAATAGATAAAAGTTGAATACTGCGCTGGCCAAGAATTCTTCTTCTTCTTGTGCAATGGAACGTTTGTATTATGAAATGGGAGTAATTAGAAAAATTAATCAAACGAAATGAAAATGGGGAAAACTGAAGTGTAGGCATTTTGGGACGGTTTATGGCTTGGCCTGCGCCTCTTGGCGAGTGACAAACACCAGACCCGAGTTTTTGACGACAGTCCGTTCTTAGCTTCGGTAATAGACGTACGCCGGAGAGTCCGGAATAAACTACTTTGCACGATATCCTGATTTGAGAAAAGTTCATTAGACCACCTCCTACAGAGGATAAGTGGAAAGTCAAATCTGAAGGCATTAGAAGAGAATAATTATTGTTGGTATTGCCATCGTAGTGGTAAAGATGCAGTGCAAAGAAGAAAACACGTATGCAGTGTATGATGAAAGTGAAGATTATGTCATTTTCGTTCGCCAAATTTCACGTAAAAGTAAATTTCATTTGTAAGGAAAAAGAATGACCAGGCGCGTATCTGAAGTTAAAACTATATTAGTGTGGGTTCGCTTGGTTAGCCGTTACTCGGTGACTCTCTAAGCGGAACTGCCCTTCCGGCTAGGAGTTCCCAAAAAGGCGTCACCGAGGGTTGGCCACCGATGTTCGTGGCGGCTCAGTCCTCGGGCCCGATATCGCCTGCTCCTATTACAATGAACATCAATGAATCCCCGTCTCGACGGCGCCCTCGATTTCTCTTACACAATTTTCAGCGGTCAAATTTAGAATTTAGTTGAAAATAGAGTGCAGAAAACCATATGGGAGGTTGCAGAAACTTACTTTGCATATTAAATACGAGAAAATTTGTTGATAGACCCAATATAAGGGAAGATAGTGAAATTGTGAAATTTAAGAACCAATTCTTATCACAATTTTAATTTAAAAATTCTTTATTATTGCAATTTTAACTTAAAAAATTGATGCTTATTGCAATTTTAACTTAAAAATTCATTATTACTACAATTTTCATTTAAAAATTCATTTTCATCGCAATTTTAATTCAAAAATTGATTTTTAAATCCCATCACGTCCACAGAACGTACTTCTTCGAGTAAAATTTCCAGAGAAGAAGGAAGTACGGTGAGCGGCGAGCAGACCACGGCATGATCGATGACATAAACGACATGCTCAACGGAGACGAGGCCGATGAAGTACGTTTCCGTCGTAAAAGACGTGCAATCACGTCGTTGGACCATGTCGTGGTCGAAACTCTGCGG